CTGGACACAAGTTAGATCAGATATTCTTCTTGAAAAAAAAAGTTAATAAAAATGTGTATTAACAGGGATATAAACCTAGCCACTAGAGAAATCAAATGTACAGAAAATAGAGCAATTTCTTAGAAAGGGGAAATCTGGTTAACAAATAGGCCACTTCAAAGGATACCTCCCATTTCAATTACCTCTTTTCTGCTCTAGTTTTTGCCTCTTCTTCCCTCCCACACCACTACCACCTCAGGCTGATAAGAGCTAAACATCTTGTTTAGTAATATACCAGGTGAGCTCAAATGCCCTCTTATGACTATTAACAGTCAGAAAAAATAACCTTATTCTGTAAGTTATGAAAACAATTGAGTTCAATTGTGGACTGTATAGAAGAAGCATCCAATTTGTGAACTAAAAGTTCTGTAAGTAGGAACTGGCCAGTATATATAGCCTATGATAATGTAGCTTTTACCTTGACACACAGAATGTTCCTCCTTGTCTACTAAAGTCATTTAGTCACTAAAGCTAATTCTTGAAAGTAAAATCTAGATATTATCAATACCAGAAAATGTGTGTGTGGGGTGTGTGTGTGTGTGTGTGTGTGTGTGTGTGTGTGTGTGGGGGTGTGTGTGTGTGTGTTGGTTTTGTTATTCTTTTTTCAATAATCTGTAAAAAAAAAAAAAAATGCTCTTGGACAAGTCCAACAACCTTTCCAAGATCTTCAACTTTCTTCACATTAAGGTCCCTGTTCAGTCTTATTTCTTGAAAGAAGATTGATTTCCCTGGCTCCTGTAACCCTGTACATATTGAGGGAAATACTCCATGGCTCCTTTGCTTTGCTTTGCTTTTTTCTTCCCCTTATTCAATGACATTACTGATGGACAAAACCTCCAATTTCATCCTGAAAACTACCTTCCTTTTTTCAAAGAATTCTACTTCATTAATACCTAAAGGATAGCATTTCTCCAATAAAAACTACTATAGTTATGTCAGAAATCATATAATCATTTTGGAATTACCACTATCATTTTGCCCCTTCTTGGTGTTATATTTCAACCCTGGGACAAATGGCTGAAGTGCCTGTTGTGATGACTGTTGTTGGTTGTCAACTTGACTGTATCTGGAATGAACTATAATCCAGGAATGGAGGGCACACCTGTGATCCAGAATTGAAGCAGGAAGACAACATGTCTTTGATCCGGGTCTTGCCTTTAATACAGACCTTTAATCTGGGCCACACCTTCTGTTGGAAGCCTCTATAAGGACAATGGAAGAAGGAGGGGGTTGTGCTTTGCGTGGTTGATCTCACCTCCATCAGCACATCCATTCTTTCTTCAGGATTCCCGCAGACCAGCTGAGACACCCAGCCTCACGGGACTGAGCAGCTACTAGATTCTTGGACTTTCCATTAGTAACTAGCCATTGTTAGACTTCAGCATGTAAGTCATTCCAATAAATTCCTAGAGAGAGACAGACAGAGACAGACAGACAGACACACAGACACACAGACACACAGACACACAGACAGACAGACAGGTGCGCGTGCATGCGCACGCGTGTGCGCGCACACACACACACAAGCGCAAGCGCAAGCGCGCGCACACCCACCCACACACACACACACACACACACTCACGTTTAAAACAAATCAAAGCTGATTTGGCTGCCAGGTTCTCCCAGCATCCCTCAGCTCCGACCTGTTACAGAGTTCTCCCTGGCATACCTGGCCCCTATCCTAAACTCACCAGCCGAGGGGGTTGAGCTGATCTTCCCTATATAATCCAGACATTTTAGTTACCTGCTCCTTCTTGTACTTTTGACTTCCTGGCTCCTGTACCTGGATCCCTTCCCTCCTCTCTCCCTTCCCCTCCCTCTCTCCCCACAGAGGACAGCTCAGTCCAGTCATGATCAGACTGGCCTCTCCCGGATGACCATGTGTCTGCCTCTACCTCTGCTCTCTCACATGTCTACAATAACCCTTCTCCTTCACCAGACCTAGGTGAAGGAGAAGGGTTATTTCCTTCCATATTTCCTTTTCCTTTTTTTTTCATTCACTTGATATTGCTCCAAAGCCCTAGAAATCACGAAATGATCTTTAAATTAGATTGCACAATTCTACTGATAAATGGTTCTGTAAACTTTGATATATAGCCACCAGATAATAGTGTTACTGAAACATTATAGGTTTTCAAATAAGCAGACCTAAGCAGCCCAATATTGTTATCACTTGGGATAAATTACTAAGAAATTCAGAAAACTTTGCCAGAGAAAAGTCCTGAATTACATGGGACAAATACACAATGAAATTTTGTTCTACTTGTCTATTTTTCAAATCAGTTTTCATCCATCAAGAAGCTGCTAATTTTGGGAAATGACTACTAACCTTTGAGAGAACCCCAAGCCAGTGATAACTACAAATCCCATGATGCAAAGCTCGAGCCTGAACCTAGGATACCCACAGTGCCTCCTGGGAATTGAAGTCTTTGTGTCGCCTACTTGGCAAACTCGATATCGTAGCTCCATTTCTCAGGAAGTCACTTTTAATAGTAAAGTCTGTGGAACAAAACCATCGATTCCCCTCGAGGAAATT